ACCCCCAACAGTGCACGCGCACAGTAGGTGCTTCACGAGCCTGGGTGGACGCCTGGTGGGTGGCCCTCTTGGCACTCCCATGCCACGCCATCTCCCCTCTCTCTCAGACCTGCCCCTTCCTGTCCCACTTTGTCCCTACTAGCATGTCTGTCTGTGACAATTCAAGGCAGTCCGGTCATGCTCATCCATGCTCACTTGTGGTGTCTACACAGTTCTTGTAAAGGGTAGAAACTCACACATTTTTTGAATGAGTGAATAATAATAAAAAAAGATAGTATATCATGCTTGATGCCCATGGAGACCCTGGAGACAGTTAGATGAGAACCAACACTTAGAAGTCTAACATCTCCCTGAAGGAATCGGGTGCTCTGTGCGGGCCCTGAAGAAAGCCCAGAAGAAAGGATGTGCCACAGCCCTGCCCCACACTGGGGCTCCTGGCCCTGTTCCCCTGTCTGCACGAGGCAGAGCACCCCCGAGGCCCCCGCTCTGCATCGTGGAAGAACCTGAACTTTCCTCCCTGATCGCTTGGTACCGCCAGTAAAACGGTGGAAAACTCTGGCATTTGCGGTTGTGGTTTCTTTCCATCTGAGCACAGCTGGTTTACCCCGAGGATGCCGTCAGGACGAGTGACCAGGTTTCTCGATGTTGCTTTTCTTAGACAAGCCCCCGACAAGTACCGAGGCCTCTGTTTCTGGTCTTGCTGACTCGCTGCTGCTCACCTCGCCCCACCCTGCGGCCCCACCTCCAGCTTCCTTAAGACAACTGTCTTCAGAACACGGGTTAGCAAGACGGACATCCTAAGGACTGTCGAGTCCTCAGGCGTGGTGTCAACCACGGCCCTGCTTAATTTCAGGCAACCCCATTAGCCACATCAGCAATTCCTCACTGGTGACAGAAATGGGAATGGGAACCAGAAACCCTAGAACTTTGGAGTTCGAGGGCCAGTTGGTCTGTGAATAGGAAGTTTCTGCTGGTGTGTCCATGAAAGCCCGATATGTTGGAATTCTGCCCTGCCTGTCCCATGGCTGCCTCTTCAGATCCCTCAGAGTCCCCCATCCCGGTCCCAACCTCCCCAAGACCTGAATTCTGTCTCTCCCAGCCTGCGGAGGGCCTGGACTGAGGAATGTGGCCATCATGAGGCAGTCATGGAGCAAACGCACCCCAGAGGAGGTGGAGAAGGAGGTGATGCCATCAGAGGCTGAGAGGCTGGGTGGTGTTCGGCTGGCCAGTTCACCCAAGCTCCTGGGTTCGCCTGTGCACAGCGGGGCTGTCCACTGAGCGTTAGCGCTTCCCTCCTACCTGCCGGGGCGAGGAGCTGTAGTCCTCTGATGCAGTATGCAGGTGTCTGCTAGCAGGTCTGTGTCAAGCTATGCAAACATAGCAGGTCACAGAAGGGACCAGGGCCACCCCTGAGGCCCGAGGATGCTGCTGATGGCCAATCTTATTTTCTGATACCTGAAATCATTGGGCTGATGCCTTAAATAAACCACACAAAACCAAACGACACAAAGCTGGGAGGACAGAGAAGGACCTTGGGTATCTAGGAGAGTGTCAACAGAGAAAAGTGCCTTGTCTTACTCTTGGTGACAAAGAGAAAGCCATCTTGAGGGGTGTGCTGCGGTCCCCACCACCTTTAGTTATGGAGAAGAGCAGGTTTAGAACACCCACTGGGGACAGGCTGGGTGCACTTGTTCATTTGTATAAATGCTGCCTTCAAGCCCCGCTCCCTGGTTTCTTGAATTATTTTGAGAATTTTGTGACATGCGTGCCCAGCACCTATGGGTGCCCAGCCGGGAACGTGTGACTATTAAAGAGACCAGCTTCCTGTTGGTGGGTCTCCAGTCTCAAGATGTGAAAACGGTAAGATGAATTCCAGAAACACTGCAATTATAAGACAGGCTTAAGAAATTAAGAAATGGAAAAGAAAACTCACTGTTTCTCCCGAATCTGCAACGACATTCTAAAAAACAAAAAGTACCACTCTCGCGGATTTTGAGAGTATTTCTTCCATTGTGTTAAGTAGAGAATCCCTCAAACCATTTGCTTACATCCATAGAAGCACAGGCTATGTTTCTTTTTTGTTTCCCTCTTAACATGTGCAAAGCATGGAAGACTAGAAATCTGAAAAGAAATCAAGGATTCTGGAAGGAATTGTGGTCTCCAGTGGCCCAGAATACAAACAACACCCAAAGACCCTCAGAAGCAGAGGCCCATCTGTCACAAATTCTTGGGGGTGCCAGGAAGAAGCCCAATGGGAGAGATGGCAGCCGTTCTGAGGTCAGCCTTTTCCTCTGCCCTGCCTGCATTCTCCGAAGAGTAAGCTACCTGCCCGCCTGAGGGCCAGGGAATGGCCACAGCCGCGTGGGGCTGTTCAGATGGCTGGAAGGTCAGGAAGGGCTGGGAGCGGGGGTCACATGAGCCCAGGCCCAGGGACCTTCTCTGGGAAGGCAGCTTTGGCTCTTTTATTCAGCGCTGACCCAATGTTTCCAAACAACCAGCCAGGTGTTTGCAAACACCTATGACCTTTGAAAAAAGACACAGGCTAGACCTGGGCCAGGTGGGAGGGGACGGAGGAGCCTGTGTGCTGGATGTTGCCTGGATGAGCTTGAGGAAAGCTCTTAACTCACAGATGAGGGACAGCAAGTGAGTGCATTCAGGGTCCTGGTATCGTCACTCTGCATCCTGTTCTCCTAGGAACAGAGTAGTGGGTGCTGGGACCCCCCCAGAAAGGGAGGAAAGTGGACATAAACATAAATATCCCTCCACGTTCTTGGTGGATAAACCTGGGACAGATAATGAGGGCACTTTTGAAAGACTAAGGAAAACTTCGAGACTCTCAGTGTCCTTGACAGGCCCTTCAAAACAAAGTACCCACAACCAACTGCCCGGGGAGGGGTGATTGGGAAATATTTGGTCAGTCTGCGATTGTGCATCAGGAGAGGCACGGCCGAGTTCCACACGGTGCCCTTGCCAGGCCAGCTGAAACCTCCACAAGAAGGTTTCTAAACTCTGTATCCATTTCCCTTAATTTCCGCTCCCGATACCCTTCTATGGAGTGGCATTTTTATTTAACACAAGGAAAAATGATTCTAGGCCAGACGAAGAATTTAAATCCCAAACTGCTGCCTTCCTAACGTTTAAAAAATACCATTCATCCATACCCTCTGTCTTCCCTTAGAAAAGGTCTATTTCTCTATCAAGGCATAAAGGAACATAGGGAGCAGTGATACCAAGGGAAATTGTCACCCTCTGCCATTTTTATCCTCTCCCCTTCTCCTCTCTAGGGGGGATGAGGCCGCTGGGCACCTCAGTCCTGGGGGGCACAGGTACCCCCTCACGGCTCCCCTGCAGTGCTGGGGAAACAGTGCATTGGTCAGGTAGTGGACAAAAGTAACCAACCCCACAGGACCTGCCAAGTGTCCAGGCTTGCCAAGGGGTGAAGTCCTGGCCTGTGGTTGACCTCACTTATCTGCCCCCTGGGGAGGGGCTGCTCCCCCAAGGGGCAGAGTCCTTCTGTTGTCTGCATACAGAGCACCTGGCCCGTGTTCAACGGGCACAAGTGGAATGAACACACAAACAAATGAACGGTCATGCGCTTTATTGAGGGTGTTGCTAACTGGGTTTCCCAATACTCTGGCCCCAAGAACCTGAAGACCTCAGGGAGCGGAGTCCATTTCCACCTAGACCTCTCGCCCTGCCAGAAATCAGCCCTGGGCCTTTCCTACAATCCCTGTCCTCCTCTCACCATCCCGCTGGGTTCCCGCATCAAAGCAGATTCCTTTACAAAGGACCTACACATTCCTCCTGTGGTCAGCTGGCTTCTGACCAGCAGATTTGATGGAGAATGGGCAGGACAGCTGAACCATTCCTCTTGGCCGCCTTGGGTGGGGCAAGGCCGGAGGAGAGGGAACTACTCCGCGCGCCCTGGGGGCACACAGCACGGTGCGCCCCAGCACGGTGCGCCCCACGCCCTCTGATGCGCTCGCTGCGGGGAGGTTGTCAGCGGAGGCTGACCAGGCCCCTGTGTTTAAGCTTCTAAGTTGCTCAACAATTGAGATTTGTACAGAAAAAGTGCTATCGAAGTTGGGCTGCCCCGTGGATGCAGCTGTCATGCTCCAGGGGGTCCCCGGCCCTCGGTGGTCCTCTCTGGGATGGGGCGGGCCAACCTGGGGTGTGGGAGCTGGCATGCTGTCACCTGGCACCCCCTTCTGGCCACAGTCTGTGAGGGTTCCCGGGCCCCTAATGGAGGCTCCAAGGTCGAGCACTTCCGATGGAAAATGGGGAACACGTGGGACCCATACCCCGATAACGGGAACCCTGGAGTAGGGGTCCAAAGAGGACGCAGCCGCAGCTGAGCTGCACTTCGGGGGCTTTCCGGAACCGCCCAGACCCAAGCCTTTCGGGAGCCTGAGGGACGAGGGGTACACGCGGGGAGGCTGCGCCCCGGGACGCCAGGGTTACGCCGCCTGCAGCGCCCAGGGCACCCAGTAGGGGACGCGCGCCGGCGGGAAGGCGGGCGCGGGCGGACAGGCCTCGGCAGGCCTCCGGCGGCCGGCGCCCCTGACGTCACCGCCCCGCGGTCGCCGGGGCGACGGTCTCATCAGCGCGCGCGTCAGAGCCGCCAGTCTCTTGGCAACCGCCCCATCTCCCGCTCTCCCTCCGCCTGGCGCTCTGCCGCGCGTCGCTCTGGCGTCAAAGCGACGTCAATGGGGATGGATCAATCCGGCGGCGGCGGCGGGGGCGGGGCCGGCC